ATTATCCATTAGATGGGATCTGAACGTGTTCCAACTAAAAAAACTTTCTAGATTCTTTAAGGTAACAGGACAGTTTTGCCAAATATTTCTTATCCACACTTTCACACCATTTTCATTCATCCATTCCTTCTCATGAAGTGTGTGTGTGTAATTATGGCAAAGTCTTCGAGGGCTATCTGCCTAAGAGGAGGGATGCCTTCGTGGAGGACTTTCTAAGGGAAACTGGCTCGTATGCATGCTACACATGGGGAAAACCACAAAAACTCCTTCTCATGAACAAGAATGAAAAGATGATTCGGGAAATTACATTTTGGCATCGTCTTTCATTTAAAAATAATCATGGGTTTTAATTTTGTATCATTTGCTAAGCAATAAAACACTACAGTGACATATGATTTTTCATGACCTATTGTTTTATACAAAATGTTTTTATTCCTTTCATATCAAATTTTTATTTTCTATCATATCAAACATACTGGAGTTTCATCCATGTTTCCAATATGTGACAGTAAATAATTTTTTTTTTTTTTGGTCTTCGTAGGTCAATAACACTCTTTTGGAAACTTATCAACCTATCAATCTTTTAGAAGGCTTTGTGAAACTTGTCTTTTTTTTTTTTTTTTTTATAGTACTAAATTACTCAGTGCCATAAATCAATTATACCAACTCAAAGTTGCTTTAAAGTTTTCACTTTCTTTTTCTTCCTTTTTTTTAGCCCAAAAAGCATTACCCAAAAGAGCTATTAATTTTAATTTGGTATTTTGCTTGGTTCATTTTTCAAATTGTTGCCACCAAATATTACAGCCCTGCATTTTACTTAAAGAAATTAAATAATGAAGAATCTGCATGAATGTATCTATGTTTCTCTCACTGCAAAAAAAATAACAGTACCTAGAGACATCAAATTTTCAATAAGTTGCCCTCCACTAGAATATGGACACCTAGAAGCCCAAACTTGGAATTTGTTTTATTATCTATTTCATATTGTGTAAAACTTTAATGAATTTTTAATTAAGAAACTCAACAATTTCAAAGCAAGTAATGACAACACTGTATGGGAAAAAAACATTTTTACCTCTAGCACGCGAGACTATGTATCGGAAATTATAAAGATATGCTCATTTTAAAATTACTTTACGATATTGCTGCTGAATTGAATTTTATGGTTTAAGTGTGAAGAAAATGATATTTAATAAATAACCAATTCAGTGAATTTCTAGGACCCAGTTCGCAAAACTTTCTTCTAGGATAGGCCATTTTGTTACTCCTTTATGCAAAGCACATTTATTCTTTCTCATATTAATTATTGTGATTTCATTTTTCTCCTACTCATGTATGGAACTTTCTCCCCAACACCAAACTGCTGCAGTATGATTTCCCTTTTTTCTCGCAGACTGAATAACTGCATTTGAAACCAGCACTGTGTTTGTTTCATTTGGCAGGGGAACATTTGTTCGAAAGCCTGGGAAATATCTTCGAATAAATGAATGATTTCAAAAGATAAAAGCATCGCAAATGCATCTTTCAGGTTTCTTCCTAAAGGAAAAGCTGCATATTATACAGCGAATATAACTAAAAAAATTTTTAATGTGCTTTATAGATGTGCGGGTTTGTAGGTTTAAGGGTGTGCCTTGAATTATCGCTAAGTTGCTGTTTCATTTATTGCCAAATCGTTGTTTCATTTAACGCCAAGTTGTTGTGTTCATTTATGGTAGCCTGAGTAGTTGAATCCTATGGAAATCCTATTATGGCGTAACTGATTGCAGTGAATTCGTATGTTGGGAAAAGGTTTGGAAATCGTGTGTCGGATTTTGGATGAAGTATGTTGTTATTTTGTGGTTTACACAGTAAAATGGCTGAATGTGGTAAGATTATTTTGAAGTTTCTGTAGTATTTGGAGCAAAAGGTAAAAAAGCATTAACTGACTGGTAGGAAAAATGAAGGTTTACTTAGTAGCCATTATTAAGTATCCTGTTTGTGGAAAGGAAATAGTACATATGGTCAAACGTCGGATGATACCGGCACTATGGAGGATATTTTTTATTCTTATTTTTGTGAATTTATGTGGCGATGCCAGTATACAGATTTTAATTCAGGTAATTTTAGAAAGTTTTTGGATGCTGTTAAGGAATTTTTTTTTGACTGAAGACATGGAAATTCCTAAATAAGGTTAAGTGGATATTTCTTTTATGTAGTGCTGAGATGAATTTCCTTTTTTATGTTATTTCATTGTTTGATTTAAAAATGTAGTTTATTGAGATTATATATTTTTTGTTGGCTGCAGTTTTGACTTTTTAAGTGAATATAGATCGATGTGTACATGGACAAAGGAAGTGTGCAATGCCTAGTTTGTGCAATTCTCTGATGTTTTCTAAAGGAAAAGTAGGTCAGTGTGTACATGGATGCTGAGTTTGTACAATTTTTTGACTTGTTATTTTGGATTTGTGTAGCAGTGATTTTTGGAGCAAAAATTGCCGCTACACAAAAGACAAAATAACAAGTCAAAGAACTGCACAAACTCAATGCCCATGTACCGCCAAAAATCGGCAAGGGGCAGATGTAAATATATTTTTACTGGTGTGTGTTATACACCAGAATATACAGTAACTACAAGCAACGTAAGCTCTTGAGGTAAGCACTAGGTGACCCTCTCCAAAAAAATTAAATTTAAAAAAAAATAAATTTATCTGAAACATGTCAGATTTTAAATTACGTCCAAAGGGATGTTTTTTTAACGTTTTGTGTGTTACCTTTATTTATTAAATATCATGTTCTTCGCACTTAAACCATAAAATTCAGTTCAACAGCAATATAAGAAAATAATTTTAAAATGAGCATATCTTTAGAATTTCTTATACACAGTTCCGCGTGCTGGACATAAAAAGTTTTTTTTGTAGAGTATTGCCATTGCTCGCTTTTAAATCATCGAGTTTGTTAATAAAAAATTCGTAAAGTTTTACAAAATATGAAATAAATAATAAAATAAATTCCAATAAATTTGGGCTTCCAGATGCCCATATTCTCTCAGGAGGATTACGTTATTCAAAATTTGATGGCTCTAGGTACCGTTGTTTTATCACAGTACAAGAAACTTAGATACATTTATGCAGATTCTTCATCATTTAATTTTTTTAAATATAATACATGGCAATATTTGGTGGCAACAGTTTGAAAAGTCAAACAATGCTTGTTGTGAATCAACGTAAAATGCAAAAATGAAATTAATAGTCCTTCTGGACAAATTGCCCCTTTTGGACTAAAAATACTAATTTTCAATCCATTTTTTAGTTTTAGTGTTTTTTAACTTTTATTTTATAATTTCCTTTTTAATATTCAACCTTTGATGCTGAAAGTTAAAGATAATTGCACAAATAATAAGTATTAAGATTTCTCTCACACAATTTAAGCCAAATATTAAGATGATAATATCAAATTAGCTGTCAAAAGGAGTTCAATAGTAGGGCTTTTCAGTAAGTCTATTTAAAAGCCTTAAGAGTAAATATGTATATGTTATTTAAAAGGACTCCCAATCTTTCTTGTTTGTTTGTTTGGTTGTATATCCCCTGAACCCTAAGCTTAAGTATGTGGACCTCCATATGCATATGTAATTTTAAGATACAAATAGCTAGTAATTCAACAGTTACATAATTCCTAAATGAAATATTTACTTGCAGGTTATTGAAAGATAATAATTATATAATTCCAATATAATATCAAAAATGTACATTACAAAATTTGAAAATGTTATTGATAAACTGAAACATATTTTTACTTATAGAAATAATAAATAATTACATAAGTAATCTTAATATTTACTATTGGTGCAACTATCTTCATCTTTAAGCATCAAAGGTTGAATACTGAAAAGGTTACGGTAAAACAAAAGATTAAAAAATATACATAAATTAAGAACTTGCCTGAAAACTGCCGAAAATTAATATTTTTATTTGATTTCATGGAAGCAGTTCATCTGCACTACTGCTTAAGATGAGAGCAGTTACTACTTGTTGGTACTTATGGAACAATAATGTTCAATAACGTAAACAATAACTTTCAGAATGATAATACTGTTTAATATATCATTTCTAGAGGAGCTGTGTCTGCTTTTAGCTACTCTGACTTTCTTCTTAACTGTTAAGATGGTGCTTTGTTTTACTCTTTAATGAATGAAAAAAAGCACCATTTAAATCTCAATCTACAGTACCATAATAATTTATAATTACCATTTCTTCCATAAGCCATTAAGTACATATTAGCAAATATACACTAGATAAGTTACATTGTAAAATAATACTTTACAAAATCTCTCAGAACTTTACTAAATGCTTTTGTAAAACTTTTGAGTAGATATATCTGCCAATATTTAGTAAACTATATTTGCCCAATATCCTATAAATGCTTCAATGCTATATGCTATAAATCATGTTCCCAAAATAATGTACATTAAACACATACTCAAATGATTCTTCACTAAGTTGTTCACAATAATTAATTTATTTGTTACATATCAAACATCATGCGAAATTATTTATGATATTTAAATAAATCGAATTGAAAATTACAATTCCAAAACAGAACCATAGCTTAACGATTTATACACGTTAATTCGATAAGGTATTAAATTAATTTTTAAAACTAATCAAATTTTAAAGAACTGACAGACAATAACACAATCTATAATTTAGTGTTTCCGTACTCCTGGTTCTAAAAAAACAGAAGTACGGAAACAACTCCGTACCAGGAGTACGGAAACAAGCGAAGAATTGTTAATTTATTCCCTCAAAGTAAAAGATTAAATTTTTCATAATAAAATTACTCCTATTATTTAAATATGACCAACGGTTCCACAATATTTCATCTTCTTACGTCATACAACCGGATAAACATCCAAATAAAGATATTCTAAAATAGCGCAAAAGCAGAAATAACTCAATCCGTTATTTCTCCTTTTCTCTTTACAGATTCAAATCAAGTTTTAAAACATGTTATGTAAAACTTACAAATGTCCACAATGTTATTTTCTAGCAATTGATTCATAAATTAAACGGATATATACATATAATTCAAATTTCACACTGCAGCAAAAATTATTAGTTAAAATTATTTTAGCATTTTAAACTTTAAAGATAAACACTCGCAAGGATCCATACCTCCTATATATTTATTTACTGTTTCATATAATGCCATTTTGAAAAATCTATATATTTCGAGGAAAAGGTCTACCTTGGAATTATATAAAAATTAATGTTACCTATTGTAAAATTTCTGAAATATATTTCGAAGGCACTACACAACTAATTACGAAATTCAGATGATGAATAAAATTTATTTAATTTTTTTAACCCAGCAAAAGAAACAACTAAAACTTGTACTTAGCTTAATGAATCTGGCAATCTCTGTGTTCATTTGGTGGAGAGTTTGAAATGTATTGGAGTTGTGAGAGTTAGGTGTTGGCGTTAAGTTTGGAAGCGTAAAGTATAAAAGTTAAACAATATCATTTAAATTTTTTGTGATAAAAGCTAAAATATTATAAGTAATCGTAAATTAAAGAATTAATTTGAATGATGATCATTTGCAATTACACGTAACGTAATAACTGCGATTTTCTGCTGATGATTGGATTGTTATGATTTAAGTGATTCTAGTCATCATTCGCAGTTATAACAATTGTTCGAGAAATCATTCTTGTATTGTACGTGATTTATTCCTAATATGAGTGACACATTTTCTAATCCAAATAGTGGACAGAGTTTAGAAGAAATGTCTTTTGACAATGTAATGAGTGATATGTCTCCTGTAACAAATTTAGCTCTAAACCTTAAAAGTCTTTCAACTTGTGTGCCAAGAACTCCCATTCGTCGTATATCATGGTCTAATCCGTTTCCTGATGAAGATAAGAGAGGATATTCAATAGTTAATCTATCGCCTTATATTGATTCACCCACTTTCCAGCATTTGCCTATGAGAGCCAAAAGCAAAGCAATGGTAAGTGAAGCCTCGTGCACACTTTTGCCATCAGATACTGAAGATAACAAAGAGAATATGATGCCTATACCGTTTCAGAGCCATGAATCTATGCCTAAAAAGTCTGATGAGGATGTATTTGAAAATGATTCAGAAGATAGTGGTTGTTGTAGTATGTCTCAAGAAAGTAGTTATTCTGGCATGTCTCAAGAAAGCAATATTTCTGTCTCCAGAAAATATCCTTTCAGCACTTATTCTCGAACTACTGTGCGAAGCTCAATTTTTACAGATGATGATGATGATAGTTTTGGGAACATTTTCGAAATGGATGATGACCATGAGCTTTTACCATTACCAGACGATGTGTCAAGTTTGTTCATGAACCCCTTATATGATAATAAGAAGACACGGAATTTGACACCTGCAACGAACAGGAATGGAAAACCTCCTATACGTCGCTGCCTTTCTATTGAAATGGATGATAGCCCTGTTCATTCAACTCAGATTCGTTCTAGAGCTTCTACTTATACTGCATCTTCTACCATGAATATTACACCTGAGCCATTGAAAAGGTGTGTTTTCAAAAGACCTGATCCACCTAACAGTTATTTTCCATATCAAAACAAGAGAAGAAAGAGTTATCATTTGGAATACTTATCAAATTCAGAGGCAAAAAGTGATTTTATTGTTCAGCGATCTTTCTCTGAGACAGCTGCTACAATTGCATATGCAATTCAGAAAGCTGATTTGCAACCTGAATTAATTGGCGACTGCAGTAGAAACTATGCCCTTCCTCTTGTAAAAGGGCGACATCAAGATCTGAAATGTATTACTCCAGAAACTTTGGTACAAGTACTTAAAGGTGATTACAACAATGAAATCCAAAGCTACACACTTGTGGATTGCAGGTAATCATTCTTTTTAACTTACTTCTATTTCTACAGAATTTTATTACTTAATTCTCTTTCTACACAATTTTATTTAATTTTTAAGCTGTTTTTTTTCATACAGCATGTATGTGATATGCAGAACTGTTTATTAACTTACAGATTTATTTCAACATGCAGTTTGGTTTATGCCAATGCAATATAGCTAAGAAAAGTTTCCTCATCTTTTAAAAGTAAAAAACTTTGTAGAAAATGCATAAAATTTCTTTATTATATAAGGGCTAAATTATGTCTCCTTTTCCTATTGTACAATTCTCAGTGACTTGCGAAAAACAAGTACAGTCAAAAGTCGTTAATTCGGACACCCATAATTCGGAATGATCTATAATCCGGACATCAAAACTAAAAACTTTCTGCGCATGCGCCACGTTGACACATGCGCAGAGCGTTCACGCGTGCGCGTAAGACCTTTTACGACTGCGCCATATGAGTGCGCATGTGCAGAATACGTTTTCGCGTGCGCATTTTATGTATAATGGACGTATAAGCTAAAATTATCTAATTATCTATTTCAGTTAATGTTGATGATTGCGTTGTTCCTTAATTTTTGAATTGCATCCGGTTTATTATTTTTTGCAGACTGTAAGAGCAATTTTATAAAAGTAAGCTTAAACTTTCGATTATATCAAATAGAATTTCCGATATATATTTGTTAATATGTAAAGGATCTAAAGCGAAAGTATGTTTTGAAATCCGAAATCTGTTTATCAATTTCACGCTGCTCGGCGGCGGGCGCCTAATGAATTGGAAGTTGATTTGTCAGCACTATCCTTATCTTCAGCGCAGATGTTTTTATTTTATTTGGCTTATAATTCCTTACCAAATGTAGTATTTCGTTCTCGATATGCTCCGTCTTTGATATGATTTAAAAACAAGTTCCTCGTCATTATAATTCGCTTCCGATAGCGAAGAAAGTGACAGAGGTTATTGAAAACAAAAAAAATTCGATTGACAAATTAGTCGGTGTTCTTGACACAGCAATTATAGGACTTGAACGGCGGGAACTTTGTAACTGAACAAGAAATTATGTCTGTTTAATAGAATTAAAGAGAAAGTATTATCACATGAACGAAGCAAACTTAAAACAACTTACATTGAAAGAAATGTTTAATAAAGTAAACAAATAAATATTAAGCTTTTTCTTTTTGCAAATTTTGATACCCTTTTAGATCATAATTGTTCTTATTTCATAAATTACGGTTTCATATTTTAATTTTATAATTTCTGCATGCCATCTTACGAGATTTAAACTGATGATCTCTAATCCGGAAAAATCAATAATCCGGAATCGCCGAAGTCCCGACGAGTCCGGATTAACGACTTTTGACTTTTTGAGAAATAATAAGATTCGGGCCTAAGAAGCCTGCCTAAGAAGATTAAGACCATGGTCTCAAACTAGCATCCCCTAAAGCAATTTTGCATGGCCAGTGAATACATTTTCCTTAAATTAATTATTAGGGCATGAATTTGAAGAAAGATTTCAGATTGATTTTGAGTCCAGTTTTACATTATTTTCATAACCATTAAAAACAAGCATGAGTTGACACTCAAGAAAATTTAAAAATGGCATTAATTAATATACACTGTAATATAAATCTTATTCTGGGATTTGATGATATGGATTTGATAAACTTCTTCATACGTAACAAAATTTAAATATTCTCAGTTATGTATTTTTATAATAATTGCTTTGTTTGGTAATAAATTTATTTGTAAACAGTTTTTTCCAAAGTGTAAAATTAAGTCTAAGAAAACCTAAACTAAATTACTTGTGAGCATGTATAATTCATGATAAAGATGGTTTCTAACAATTTTTCTCCAAGATTAAAAACTTATAATTTGAAATGAAATGTCATAACATTTGTAGTAAGAAATAAAGCTTATAATTTTACGTTGCTCGTCAATGCATTTTCTGTTACATACAAACATATGTATTTTTCCTGTATGTGTAAAAGAAATATTTTACTAATTGAACAAAAATAAAAGGTTGTCATTATTTATTCTCAAGTTTTGGCTCACTTAGAAAGGTTTCGTAATTTGTTTGTTTTTAGTTTAGGTAAATTAATTAGTGGCTAATTCAATATATAAGAATTATGTGAAATAAACTATCACTCTGAAAATTTGACACTTAACTGTCAATTCCAGAAGAGAAATTTCTTGCAGATACTAGTTTTCAGATTTCAAACAGAAAAGAAATATATATTGGAATTTTCTACTTTGTGTCTTTATTATTACTGTTTGCATAGGTTTTGATAAATATTTATTAAATAAAATATGTTGCATTCTGCTCGCTTACAATTTGAGTTGAAGACCACTGTCTTAGGAACTCTTGTATTTATGATACACAAGTGGGAAACTACAAAATCCCATACAGCCATCTCATAAGCATAGAAAACAGGATAATTGCCAACATTTGATGACTGTAACTATAGTCTGTCAATCAGAAGTTCCTGCCAGTTTGCAGCTATATGTTGCCATAGAAACGAGCCTTAACCCATTTTTTATAAGGGTGTCTTGAAGCTGTACTTTTCAATTAGCTATCTTGGTGCATTTAAAGATGAATTGGTGATATTCACTTTTTGTTTTAGCTTCAAGTAAAATGCTTGTTGACCCTTAGTCATCGTTCCCGACATCCAATTTCCGAAAATGAAAATTCGGTGGCATAAAGCTTTCAACGCATGAGGTAGTTACTGAATTTTTGGCTAATCTTTGAAATATGGTAACAGGTAGTTTGGCGACATTTTGGTAAGGCGATAAAGGTTACTAGCTAGGACTTTAGCTATAATCTGAGAAGTACACAGTTCGAATCACAGATTATTTTGTCTCAGAGAAATGAGAGATCATGAGACATGTAATGTGACATTTTCCAGAAAATTCTAATCTGGATTTTAGCTGATAAGCACTTAGAAACAATTTCGCTGCCAATCCTAATTACTTTAAACCAAGTTTAACCATTAACCCACTTTTTGCTTACAATCCTAATTACTTTAAACCAAATCATTGCTAATAACAATTTTCGGTACTTTTCCGTTTCGCCGGCGCAAATCTCGCCAAGACGACTTTGTTGGCGATAACATACAGTATACACATAAAAAATGTTAACAAATGTTAATTCTAAACATTTTCTATTTTGAAGGCATAAACATTTTAATATGGTTTAAAATTTTGTAAAAAGCTAATAAATAAAGACAATAAATTTGTAAAAAGACATAATTTAAGAATTTACTATGCTTTCATGTTCAAAATTCCTGATTCGTAGGTTCGTATCACATGACCCCAAGTGATCTCATCTCACGTAAACTATGCTATAAAATCTAATTCTCTCGGGTAATTATGTACAGTAATTCAAGTTAATCTTAATTTGGGAATACAATTTTAAATGCAGAGTTATTTCAGTCTTACGAATAGCTTACTGAGAAATTATGTAAAACCGCAGTGCTTTACTTCGCTAGTCCATTCTCATTATAATTGATGGATCTAACACTTGATTTTGCCTTCGTGTGAACGGTGTGATTGCATTCTAATTGACTTAATTACCGCGAATGGTCTTAGGGCATACAATTTAACTATCTTGTAAAAATTCTATGTAATTGTATACCAGCATTCAAAGAACAAGAAATGGCTGCGATTGTTTTTGAAATGAGGCGTAAAGTTACCAGCGAATATATCCTTTTGGCATCCAGTTGTACCATTATTGGCGACTTTAAACTAATTGCATTGCAAAACGGATAAGTACCCATTTTCCAATAATAGCATATAATTATTTACTTTACATTTAGAACTGCATAAAATAATATCCTCAAATTATTAAAAATACTAACTTACCTAAATCTTCTACAGAATCTTGAGTGCATGGTGGATCACAAAATGTCCATTTTCACTCAGGTTTCTTGCACCGCCATTCAAACTTATCTGTAATATCCTTCCTTTCACACAATCTCTCTTTTATCTCATTTCATTCCCACATGTCGGAAAATTCATACTTATCCGCAATTAAGCAATTCTTTTCAATTACACATAAACGCAATTAAAGTTTCAGATTTACTTTATATACGGCCATGCGATCCAAATATTAAACAACACTGTTTCACAGAACATAGAATGAAACTACTGCTATAAAGTAAAGCAGATATTTTTACAAATATACCCCCTTTTCCGATTAAAGAACAGTGATTCGTTCATTAATGTCACATGACATATCTCATGATCTCTCATTTCCCTCACACAAAATAATGCGTAATCGGAACTGAGTACTTCTCACATTATTCTCAAAGTCCTAGGTAGTAACCTTTATCGCCTCCAAAATGTCGCCAAACTACCTGTTACCATATTCCAAAGAAAAGACAATGCTGGATGTGTTCTTCCGTAACAATGGGTATTCAGGGATTTGTGCCGGGAAAGCAAAGAATGTTTTCTATTCGCCATTCCCGATCACTGTGCTACAACACTGATGACTGCAATTCAGGAAAACATTGCTGATAGCAGCATTATATTTTCAGACTGCTAAAAAGGATATAAGAAAGAGGAATTATGAAATGCTAAGTATGAACATTTCACTGTGAATTATGATTTTGTAGACCTCGAAACCGGATGCCATACTGTGGAACGATTGTAGGGTAGTGCTAAATGGACAAACAAAAGTCATCGGGGCCACTGCTCGCCACCATTTAGAGTCATATTTGATAGAATTTATATGGCTTCGATTATATTCAAAAAAAGAAGTTTTTTCTGTAATGTTGAATGATATTTATAATTTTATGTCACCTGTTTAGATTGAATTTCCTATTCTTTATGCCATCTTTTTAGATTCAATTTCCTTTTGTTTTATTTTTTATTTATGTGTAGAATATTCTAGATTAAAAAATTTATAAAAAATTACTTTTTTACAGAAGTAATTTTTTATTAGCCTTTTGAATCTTATTATTATGGGGGAAAAAAGTGCTGCATTTTTAACTGACGCTGCTCTAATGGAATAGTACCGCTCGTTGTTGCCCACTTTTGGTATTTTTTCTTTTATATTGTGGCAAAGAAAATACTGAATCTAGAAATATCATCATAGCTTGAGAGAGCTATTAGTTTTTGTGGAAGAGTTTCAGTGAGGACATGGCTTGTATCCACATTACACATGCAATAAATCATGAAAACTCCAATGCAGCCAGCCCGTTCACCGGTACTGGAGCCAAATTGAACTATTGGCATTCTGCCTTACTTCGTTAAGTAATCTTATCCATTCTGGTGAAAATAATTTAACATTTAAAGTGTTCATAGGAGTGTAACATCTTAAAAGTCGTCTGAATCACTGTCACAAGATTCCATTTCTTTTGAATCAGAATCAAAATTGCTGCTGCCTTTTAGAGTTATTAATTCATCCACTATCTCTTCTAGAAGTTCGTCCTTGTCCCAATAAGAATTTTCAAGTTTCTTCACATGATTGCAGTGCACCTGCCACTCTTAAGAAGTGACTTCATCCGAAGCATTTTACATTAAACTTTTCAAATTTTCTAAGCTCAGATCCCCAGTTACATTCCTTTCCCTGAAGTCTTTTAACTGATGGCCAAATATATTCAGTTGTGTTTAGATCACACTGGTAAGGAGGAAGACTCACAACATGATGCCCATTTGTTTTTATGATGTCAATTTTATAGATTACTTTTTCAGGAAGATCGCATTCTATTAACTTAAACAGTTCCGCTTTTCACATTTTGGGATTGCAGCATTTTGGGCATTCAGCACTGCAGCATTCAGCATTTTGGGATTGTCTTCCCCATCAGCCAATATACCATTGTTTGCTTTGTAGCATATTTCATGAGTGTCGGATCTTCAACTTTTTTTGTGATACGAAGCATTATCCATACATACCACACTTTGGGTTCGTAAATTTTGAAGAAAATTTTCCAACACCCATTTTTCAAAATTTTCGTAATTCTATTCTTATTTTTTAAGAAAAGGCACGTACAACTGGGATGAAACTGAGAAGACGAATGTAAACTCTTTTTCCCTCAGCCAACAGTTGCCAAAAAGAAAATAACAATAAAGCAACCCTTGGTTTGCCCCTACTTGAAATATACTAATCCTGTTGCTATAACTGTGTCACTCACCAGGCACTGTGGCAGGATATACAGACATTACTCTCATAGACAGACAGTACTCAATTCTTAATAAAATGTTTAAAAGTTTTCATTTTATTGATGATTGTAGAATATGAATTTCCTCAAATCTGCCTGAAAACTGGAAAATTCCTTTTCAGATTTGAAGTTTATTATTATTATTATTATTATTATTATTATTATTAGAGAGAATGTAAAAATATTTACATGAATGTAGAAAATGGAAGGTTTATAGTGTGTTACTGAAATCTTTTCCTATTCCAACACATGAACCTAGACCTATATTGCCAAGACATGAGTTTCCTGAATTTGACTAAGTTCTAGTAACCATCTCTAATTTTCCTATCTTTATAATGATACATTGCCTAAAACTTCCTGTAAAATTCAATTTAATTCCAAATATTTGTATTTTATATTTAGTATAATCAGTAAGAAAAATCTTTAGATCTTAATAATTAAAAATAACTAACATTTTAGCAATTGTCTCTGTAACTAAAAATAATAGAACAGTTCAGTGCATCAGGAAGCTCTTTCATCAGTAAAATAGTCTATGCCTCTTTGCTTTCATCTTTCATAGATATGAAAGGGCTGTTGATAGCTGTACCCAGGCTTGGCAAACTCTACTAAAGAAGAAACAATTTTTTAACTTATTTTATGTTTATATTAGTATTCCTGTATTTGGTTTGCTAATATAAATATAAAATTTATTTTCATGTTTTTCGTTAAAAATAAACATAATAAAGATTCAAAAAGAATTAATTGCTTTTCTGATATTTGAAATACTATAAACCGTGAAGAGCTGGTACACATAGATGGCAAAAAAGAAACTGTACTAATTAATTAGCTAATTATGTATTGTCATATAAATACAAGTTCTTGTTACAAAAGGGGATGGAGCTTCTAAGAGCTATTAATTAAAAGAAAAAGCTGCTATACAAAGAAATGAAGTAAAACAGGTTTAAAACATTAGAGTAGAAGGTTAAGAAATGCATTTAAACAGAAATGAAATATGTTTGAACCCTACCAATTCTTTATTTACTTTGTATGAATTAAATAAATTAATATTTTTATCCCTTTATATTTTAAATTATTTATTACTTTATCTAGTTAATTTATTTATTATTGACCTTGTTTTTGACAGTATGCTGTAGAGCTCCAGCACTGATGTGATTTTCCTTAATGGAAGTCCTCTATTTTAAATGATCCATCTCTAAAAAGCATATCGATTCAGATATTTATAATCTGGACCTGATTCTTCCCACAAGTAGGCCCACCAGCAGCCGAACGGTAAAATCACTGAACACTGGTAGTTCAGTTCGAGGTTCAAATCTTGCAAACAGGCTGGCTGCATGGGCATTTCCATGGCTTTTCCTATGTGTAACATGTATACTTTCCCCTTAGAAATTCCTCCACAAAGGCATCCCTCCCATTAAGCAGATAGCCCTCGAGCCTTTGCCATAATCCAAACGAATTTTCCTATAAGTAAGAAATTTTTTACAGATGCAGTGTTTAAGATGGCTATTATTTACAGCTAATCTCAGTTCTAACATTTCTGGATCCCTTGACGATTAGTACAGTTAACATCCCATATAAATATTTAACTGTTGCTTGTAAAAACAATTTAGCTGGTGCTGTGTGAAATTATGCATACTAATTATTTGCCTTTTTAACTTTTGGAGTTGGTCTTGTTTACAACATTCGTAAAAAAATTCAAATTCTTGTGCAATTGGCGTCTGAAATTTAACATTGTACTTGTGTTACTTCATTACTCCTATGTTAAGAATCCAACAGGTTAATAAATATGGCAAAATACACGAGGGGAGAGATGCCTTCATAGAGAACTTTCTAGAGAAAACTAGTTTGTATTTACATTGCACATCAAGAAAACCAATGATGCAGTCAGCCTATTCACCTAAGTCTGATCAAACCCAGGCCAAACTCCTAGAATTAAATAGTCTGAAACGCTTTTAAGGTCTTGTGTTAAGAATAATAAATATTCTAATTAGAATTATTACTAAAAATGAATTTTGAGTGTTCCCCCCAGGCAGGTTATATTGAATTGTTTATCAATAAAGGGATCATAGGATATACTTTTATGTTTACTTTAAAAATATTTAATAAGGAATTCATAATACTTTGCAGGTATCCTTATGAATTTGATGGTGGTCATATTATAGGAGCAAAAAATATCTATACAAAGGAAGACATTCTGGAAACATTTTTAAAAGAGCCAGTTGTAACAACTGATAAGAATATTATCATTTTCCACTGTGAATTTTCATCTGAGAGAGCACCTAATTTGTGTCGCTTTTTAAGGAACAAAGATCGTGAGATGAACGAAGGCAGTTATCCTCGTCTGCACCATCCTGAAATTTATCTTTTAGAAGGTGGCTATAAAGCATTTTTTAAAACTTTCAATGACTATTGTGAACCTCAGAGTTACACGCCAATGAATCACAAGGATCATGATTATGAATTACGTCACTTCAGGGCAAAGTCAAAATCATGGGGGGCTGATTGTAAAGGAAAAGCTAAATTAAGATCTAATTCATTGCACCCAGTTTTATGATTTACTTATATGAACTGGGATGTAGTTCAGTATACAAAATTTTATAAATTTTATGCAATTGTCTGATTTTTTAAAAATTTCTTGAAATTGCATTATTTACAAGGCATGAATTGACTGTTGCATATTTTAGATCCTAGCTGGAAATTCTAAAATTAAATTCTTTTTTAATGTTAGAAATTAACAAAAATATGTTATATTAACAATAAGTAAATATTTCCAATAACTGATGATTTGATATATCTTTTAATCATCAGTCAGTTTCTATTTATATGTAGATTAGCCATTAAAACACTGTATATAAAGTGTAAATATTGTTTAGCATTGTTGTGAAAGGGTGTGAAATTTGTGTTTGTTTTCATTTTTGTTTCTCTTGATTATGAGATACATTTGTTAATTCTTTAATTCAACTTCTTGTTTCAAAATTCTATGTATTCTTTATTCATGTTCTATTTTTTATTTTGAATTATTGCTGAAATTATTATTTATTATCACTACTTTTTCTAAGTATGCATAATCTGCTCAAGTAAATTTTAATCTTTGTAATAGTTTCATTCAAAAAGTTAAGTAGACTAAGTTATAGTAATAATGAAAGATTATTTCAGGTGTAATTCATTGAAGAAAAGTTGCATTTGTATTTACAGAATTTCTTACTAATAATTTCACATGGAAAATTTATAATAATTTTCTAATCACAGCTATAATGCTTACATGAAACCAAATTGTTTGTTATATTAGATTTTAATGGAAAATTATTTTGGATAAAATTGATGTTAGTTGTACGAATAACTTCAAAAAATGTTTAATGCATTTAGTTTGCCATTCTGTAAAACATAAAATTTTTTAATATAAAAACATTTAATATTAGTAATTGAACATTTTGATAAATTGTCTATAACATGTAAAACTTTTAAATTAGCATTTTATAGGAAATATTTCTTTTCATGTAACTTTGTGCTTAGTGAAAATAGGTTTTACAGAATATTTAATACATTTTTCTCTGTGAATATGGACTTGGCAGATGTAGAAATTGTGAGAGTCTGGTGATGAGACTGCTTTAGCCAATTCTTTAGCCCGCATATGTTATTTCATATAATTCCACACTTCAGCACTGAAATGGATTGGTAATCTATTGCACTGGAACCATGTTCAGTCTCAGAGAACTCTGAAACACACTTCAAGATTTTCAGTAATACAGCTGGTAGAAGACAGAGCCTAACTGGTAAGTTGTGGATGGCCCTGATAAAGAAGTTGTGCTGAAGTCTTTGTGCTTCTCTGCCATCATAACTGACATCTTTGCATAAGATGAATGTCAATTTTATCGGCAATTTTTAAATTGATACAATATTGCAGAAAACATCTTTCAAAATGATGTGTTTGCAAAAGAAGAGCACTCCTACACACTTGCCAAAAAATGTTTATGTTGATTGCATGTTGAATGAAAAATATGTTTTAATGGGACCTACTTTTTAAAGTTTGTTCCATCAATTTGATATGCTTTGGGTTTTTAATATTTTGTGTCATACTGAAATGTTATTTTATGACATTTTTCAGTGTGTGCAAAATGTGTATGTTCAAAATGTGCAATTTTATTTATTTATGATTCAAATTTGTATGTGTATCTGAATGTAGTAAATTTTTATTTGATATCAATGAGTTCTGTTTGTCTTTAAAAAATGATAGTATTGAATTAATTTTAATTAGTTGGTTGTACTTATAACTCATTTGAAACAGCTTTAGCAGGCATCAAGGTAACTTTGGTTACATTCTGAGTATCAGTTACTTTGATGGCTGTAGTGGTAGGGTTACGTTGATAGAACTGACACTGCGTGAAATTGATTCAATAAAATGGAAATTTTGATACTGTGATGAAGAGTCAAAGGCTTAATGCATATTTGTCACCTTCAGAGAGCTGACACTAGAAACATAGAATCAATACGGTATAGAAATAACATCGGCATGGAATGGGCATTACATTAATGTAGCAAAGATTATAATTAGCAATATATTTTTTTTTTTTTTTTTTCCCTGCATAAGATAGACATCACAGAGCTGAAACCAGTTTTTGAGCTGCCTTGTCAGCTCTGTGCAATGTGAATCTTATGTCATTTTATCAACTGATACCTATAGCTTTAATTTGGCTGACAGAAAATAAATTTATCGCAGTAGTAAATAAGATTCAGCTTCCTTCAAGCCAGTTTCCTCCTCCTTATAATTGGTCTGCATTTTGCAATACTGCATATCTACAGCTTATTTTCCTCAGTAGTGTATAATTTTATTGTGTTAGAGTTGGAACATATTCAATCTTTTGGCAATATTTTGTAATTTTTGAAAAGGCTCATACCTTCCTTTTCATGATTTGGTGAGTTTTAGAGTTTTATGAAGAAAATAATAAATTCAAACATACAGTAGCAAATACAAGAAGACTTATCATGTGCTTGAAAGAGCTCACAAAGTGTTAAAAACATGGTTGTTACATAGAGGTAGACATTTTCTGGCAATTTATTGCCGTTTTTTTACTTACTGAAGCCCTTAGTTTCGTTTAAGGACACGTGCACATCTGTCTGTTTCTGAATATACTGTAAGGTACTTTAATAGTTTCTTTCTTTTCTGTGGTAAAAGATAAAACACTGTTTAGAAACTCATTAAAGAAAGCTTTAACTGTTTAAACAAATATTTTTTTACAGTTATAAAATATTCCAATTTTAATTAAAATTAGATTGTAAATTAAGTCATTTTAATACTCAAACATTGTAATTTAATGTAAGTACTTAAGAACTGATGGCAGACATCTGGCTTCCCATTTTCGTTTGTTATCATTAGTGCTCCAGAAACAATATTTTACCTTTTGCAATATGAATCTTTTGTTATGTATTTCCATACTTGGTAATTTTAAGATCAATTTTCTGTAAAAAAAATGTTTTTAAAAAATATTGAAATAAAGTATTTTATTTCCTCCTATATGTTTTAAACCATCAAGCTTTCATTATGGCAAATTTCAAATAGGTTCAAAAAATGAAACGAGGTAATAAATGTTATTAAGCAGAATTTTGTAGTTACTTTTTAACAAAGGCAAAAAAGCTACTTTAATTACATTAAAATTAATTTGTTCTAGTTTTTATGATAAGTGATTTTCTTTATGTAATTCTTTCAAAATATTCAAATATTTATAAGTGTTCCGTGTTATATTTCAGGCTTCCCCCCCCTCTTCCTTTTTTAAAACTTCCTTTCATTCTCATGCAAGCTTGTAGCTGTTTTAATGGCAAAAAATGCCAGTATCAGAATGAAAAATATGTTAATCGTATCAATACAGAATGGGCCTAATGTATAGGAAGACTATAATGAGTTGCTTACGCTGTTCAAAGAAGTTTTGGAAAATACAATGAAAGTAAAATAATTCGAATTTTCTATGGTGTTTCTTTATTATTAAGACACCCATTATTTAAACGGTGGCAAAATGGCTGTTGTTCATAGACTGTGCCACAAAGTGAAAGCCCTACTCGGAGCTCTTCTCATGGCGAATGGACTGTAAGAGACTTTGATTAGAGTTACTGGCTGTTTAGCGACAGTTTGCGAAGAGTTCTGAGTAAAACTGGCACTTTGTATTAGTTAAATAAAAAAATGGTTCTTGACATCGCTTAAATGACAGGGACTGTAACAATAAAGATATATGTTTTCTTCTTAGATCCTAGATCTGTTCTTTTATTTTCATTGTTCTCACTGTTCAAAAGTACGGGAAGCTAAAGCAGTTATTCTAATCTTGACATATGGAAAGGCATTTGTGGAAAGCAATTTCCCTTGTTAAAGATTGAAAATTATTGATTTAAAAGATTTATTTTATGTACCTGAAGGTTCATTATAACATTTTATATAGATTTTCAAACTAATTATCAGTACTGAAATTACTACAAAAAATAAAATTAGCATCTTTATATTCTAAATAAATGTAGTTTTTTAGAGCAGCAAAACTGTTTCATTAAATCGAAATTTAGAGATGAAGAGAAAAATTACTGAGGAAGATACAAACTGATTACATAAAGGAAAAGAAAATAATTCAAAGGGATATTGCTGAAAATGTTAACAAATTAACAGATAATTTAGCTGCTGATGGAAATACTCAGGAGCACTGATTTGTTTGTTAATGCAAATAATAATTAATTTATTTGTTTATTAAAGCAAATAATTATAAATAAGCTAAAGCATATGAAAAAAATTTCATTGGTAAAAGATACAAATATTATGTAGTGTTGTAAACCTTTTTTATCTTTCGATGTGTAATTTCTGTTTTTTAAACCTATATAATTAGTTGTATGTGTAATTATCTATTATTTTAAACTGAAAAGGTTCTTTAATTGGGATTTTAATAGTGTATTTTCAATGAATATTTTTTTCATAGTGACTTTGTAAGTTTTCTTTAAAATATGTGTGAATAATGGGAAGTAAAAAGTAGAAAAGACTGAATAGTTATGCTGTAAAGCATGTGTATGACTGATAGCAATAAACAGAATTCTCTTGTCATTGGCAAATACAGTGGTACCTCAGTATACGCCCACTTTAAAATACATCTTATCTGTATATGGAAATTTTTCCTTGGTATACGATATTTATTTGGAATAGAACCCGACTTTGATGAATTATGATGTTTCGACTACCTGCAAACCTGTTGCTACTGTTCAGTGAACAATCTGCAATGTAACTCAGAATTTTCACATGATTTTGAGTATATTGCATAAATTTTTTGTAAAGTCATTAACAATGAGTTTTAGGAAAGGTAATGAGGAGAATTGAGCAATGAAGAAAATTGTTGAGATCAACCATGGAAGTTACAAAACATGAAAATGGCATGTGTATCTAGAACTTAACTATTACATATCCCTTAAAAAGTATTATGTTGCTATGATTCTTAAAAATAAACATGTTATTAAATCACCTAATGTCGCAAAGAGGCTGAAATCGATTACCAAACAAAGAGCAGAGATGTTAGAGCATGTTGAAAAATTACCTTTGATCCAGATAGCAGGAAAACATTTATGCACAGTGCAATCCTTCATTTGTGTACAGTATACAAGGTGAATCTGAACAAGAAGGCAAAACTTTAGGGGGGGATAGAAGGCAGCTATACAAGCAATATTTGTCATAGAATAGAATGTATGGTCGGAAATCAAGTGATGAGAAATTACAGGGTAGTTTTCCACTGTTAGATTTAAAGAATTAACACAAGAATGAAAGGAAATACTTCAAAAAACATTTTACTAACAGAACGTGCTCATTGAAATTGTCCAAAAGTCCTTCCGCCAGCTGTAATGCAGGTTTCACACCTGCGGGATAGGGATTGACGTACATTTGCGAAAGACACCAGGCTTTTCTCGAATATTACGAGCAACAGCGGCGATTCTAGCAACTAGATCCATATTGGTTTCAATGGGACACTGGTAGATTAGACTTTTCATATGCTCCTACAGGAAAAGTCCGAACATGGGAGATCTGGTGATCTTGGTAGCCTAGCTATGGGACCACCTTAACCAATCCATCACCCTTGAAATTTTGCAGTTTGTATAACCAGTGGTAGAAATACCATTGGGTGAGTGGACCATTGGGTTTACACCATTTATTTACAATGCCACCTAGCTGCTAGCCATTTGAGTTCCAACCATACAGTCTACGACGAATATTGCTCGAATAGTTGCCATCTATCACTCTCTTAAGTTTTTCCCTCTTATTCAGATTCACTCTGCATATTTCACCTACTGCATTAGTATTCTGGTATCAAACAGTGTTTCAATGATAACAATGGGATTTCTTATAAGAACAGATTAATTATTTTCTCTTTATTTCTTATTGGAAAAGTTCATTTGGTGTATCTCTAAGGATCTAGAACAAATTAATGATGTATACCGAGGTACCACTGTATTTGATATCTAGGTATTTTCCTGAATTGTGAGTGCCATTTCTGAAGGCTCTTAAGGTTTAAAGAAATTTTTTAAAAAAAAGTCTGCAGTAAAATTAGTGGTAACTACCACTTTTATTTCCAACCATTTTAACATGGGTAATGTTAATCACTGTAATGCTTACTCTTGCAAATCAGGAAGGGCAAATATTTCAAATAACACAAAAAAGTCGCTTCTTTTCTGATGCTAACATTAAAAGCAGTCTGAGATGTTGATAATTAGCTCTCAAGACACGTACTGCTAAAAAAATTCTGAATCTTTTTTTTTTAATCTGTATCATATTTAGAGCTTTAAAAACTATGCAGATATTTAATTCTAGCTAATTTTTTATAAAAATCTACTATTTAATGAAAGAACTATCACTTTTAAATTTAATACCTCTAATTAAGTTTCCCAGTTCATTTCAGTAGTGCACATAAATATGGAAATCTGAATTATTTATCATGAATTAGCAATCAATAATTGAAATTTGACATATTAAATGTGAAATAGTGTGAAACAGGTAGTACCCTATATGTATTTAATAACCAATTTCCTGGTTTGTAAATTATATAAAAGCAGAACTTGAAAATTTAAATATTTGATATATTACAATTTTAGTAATAAAATTAGATATATAGAGGCTCTTCGCACATTTTTTTAGACAATTTTGCTTTGGTACCCTGTGCTTGATAATTTTTTTTTAACTGCAGCTATATTTTTTAAAGTATAAAGCTACTTGACAGTTTCATTTTCATGCAAAATGGCGCTTCTAAGGAAACAACAAATGGAAGGTTATGTTTGTGGTCTTTCAGAAGAAAATTATTCCTATCTAGTTATTACAAAACACCATGAAAGCCATGGTTTTTCGATATCTAAAGCTGCGTTAGGTAATATTGTCAATAAGAAAGTAAAAAGAAAAGAAAAGAAACCCGTCAGTTTGGTTTCAAGTAGAAAAATTGCTCCTAATACATATCCAAGGAAAAAACGGAATGTTGCAAAGGTAAAATCTAAAATGTTAAAGGAAATTCGAGACTGTTAAAAAAAAGTCAAAGGACAGTTGCAAAATCATTAAAATACTCAATGTCAACTGTAAATAAAGTGATTAATGCTGATTTAAATCTTAAAAAGGCGAAAAAATATAACGTGCATCGTCTTTCTCCGCGACATATCGCCGAACGCAGAACTTGCTGCAGTATTCCTTATGCGAAACATTTATCCAGATAAAAGTGGAAAAATGTTGCCACAATAGATGTATCTTGGGTATATTTAAATGACTGCAATAAAAAGAGATCCATTTATTATCATCAAAGAGGAGAAGAAAGCATTCAAAGAATCTAAAGGAAGTTTTTCATAGGGATTTATGATTGTTGCTTGTTTTTCATATAACGACACATTAAAACTAAAGACAGTGGACAAAAACGTTAAGATTAACTCCACATATTATCATTAACATATTTTATACCCAGTTTTCAAATATGAAATGCCTTCTCTTAAGTCATAGTGCCATCAATTAGCAGAACTGCGTCAAGACAAAGCAAGCAGCCACAATTTCCTGAAAAAAAAAATTGAGCAAGAAACGGGTATCCCTTCACTCACACTAAATCTCCTGACATACCACCCATGAATTTTTGCGCTTTTGAACTTAAAAAGCGGATTGTCCAATCGTCGACCTACAACCGTCCTTGGACTTTGAAAAGCTGTTCAAGAGGAATGGGATTAAACACCTCTTCCGATACTGTAAAAGACACTTTTTGTCTTGGAAATTATGGTATAGAAATATAGTGAAGAATAAGGGTTATCAAATAAAGCATTTCAAACATCAAATTTTAGGTAAAATATTTCTGTAAATACAATGAAAATCGTTTAAAAGTGTGAGAACAGCCTCTGTTCTGTAGGTTTTCTGTTTGCAGTTTTTAATGAAATAACATAAAAAGTTAATCAATATTCAGTGTGTGACAATTTAAACAAGGAAATAAACTCGAAAAATTCCAAATGTCAATTCAAAAAAATTTTTAAATATTGATGCTTAATACATTTATTTTTTCACATTCAATAGTTACAAGCCAACTTTGTACATAAACTTTATTCACTTAAACAAATAATTATTTTATTTTGCTGCCTCTTTATCAAACTACATATTCAATGTTACTCACACTTTGTAATGAGTTAAAATCGCCAATTTAGCTTCTGTCAGTAATCTATTCGTTTGTTAAATCATTCTTAATGTGAGGTTTCACATTCTTTTTTAACAATATTGACTGTGCCATCTTGTTCTTCTGGGCTTGGAGAAAGACTAGTGTGCATACGAGAATAATACTGTACATTTTGATTGACAAGACTAGTATTTTCTCCTTCCATCTTTTGTACAGTACCTGGCATATATTTGGCAAAGAAAACCATGATACCAGGTGTACCTGAAAATAAACAAGAATTGAAAAATTTGTTAAGATATTTGTAATATACATGCAGTTTGTGGCTAAGCTCAGTCAGAAAAATTTATATTTAAATTTTAATGGAGTATTCTCAGAAACTTGTTTACGGGATTTGGAAACAACCGCAGTTAACTGCAAAATCAGTTTCAACAATTTCGAGCTTAATTACATTCTGTGATCCACTGAAAACATTTTCCATTATATCATTGGCTATCATAATGCAAATCCAAATATTTTCCGTGTTTCTTTAAGTTAATATTGCTCATAGCAAAATGGTTAAAGGTTTCTATCCGCCTTGCATCCATATATCTGCCCTATTTTATTCATTCAAAATGTTTACTTTTGTACTGTAGCCTTTTTTCTGATATGCCCAAAGACTAAAATTGTTTTTAAAATTTCCCATTGGCCCCATCTTATTTCCTAAAACGACGCAATTCGTGGTGTCAAGAATCATTTTAGTTTTCTTTCATTTAAAAAACGTTTTATTAAAAATTATTTTATTTGGCTAACAATGAACGATTACTTCATGTACCAGGTGCAAATTAATTTCGTGATGTTTAAAGGGCCGTTCCCGCAGGGCTTTATCTGAGCTAACAGAGACAACTGACGTAGCCGACCCATCTCCAAAACCAGTTTTTTCCCATAGGGCAGCAAGTTGAAAAATCTGAGCTGCAGACATAGCGGAGCTAGTTGACACATGGAACTGACTCCGTTAGCAGATATACCGTAAATACCGTACTGGCAGATATACCCCTGTGGGAACGGCCGTATAGACTCATAAATGTGGTAAAAAGCCAAATATGACGCCCTTGTTAAATAAGAAACTAATGCGCTATATTTGGTCAACGATTGATTTCTGGAATTACATTTTGATTCATTTTGAAGTTCTCAATATAGGTAGCCACTTTTCCTCACTTAGATTTTTCAGGTCCACCAGTAGCTGAGCGGTAATGTCGCTGAACATTGGTTGGTCGACCTGGGTTCGATTCAAGGCGAATGGGCTGGCTGCATGGGCGTTTTTGTGTTTTCGCCATGTGTAATGTAGATACGAGTCAGTTTCCTTTAGAAAGGGCTAGGTTCATGTTTATGAAGTATAATAATATGCTATCTAGTACTCAGGTAACAAAGTAACTTATCGAGCAAACGTACTCATTGGGACAAATGACCTGATGCGGTTAAAAAGAAGGAAACAATCTCAATCCTATTTATTTATATTATATAAGCAAAAAATATTAAGGCTATTTTTTACTGTTCCTCACACATTATAGCATTGTCAGCTGGGTCCTCCTGGCGAATACTTAAAACTGGATTTTAAATTACGTACAGTAGAGTCCCACAAATTCGACTTCTGATATCTCAACGTACCGTATTACTCGACAACATTTTAAGAACTTTTTAAGATGTTTCTAAGCCAAACAGAGCAAATATTACTTACAGTATTATTTATGCGTATGTCTTTCCTGTTCTGTTCAAAGATTTGAGTGTTCTTTTTCTGTAGTTTTTACACTATACCATTAATTCTTGGAATTGCTAACAAATTTCAAGATATGTTGTAACACTTGGCAACTCTGCTTCTTTCGAGGATACGAAGAAAGTCAGGTAACGGCTGACCGCTGGCTCACATTCCTTTCTATTGTTGCGAAATGTTAAGAGACTTGTCTAAACTTTTGTGACTGCATCTTATTGCAAACTAAACTCACACCAGTTCATTGCGGGTATCGTTCCTCAACTCACATCCAGGCGTATAATTGTTACAAATTTTGGGGAACTTTTGATATTCTGAAGTGAAAATGTCATTCGAAAAGGAAAAAAAAAATAACGTGACAATGGAAATGAAACTAGAAGCCTAAAAGAGACTGGGCAAAGGAGAATATGTAAACAAAATTCCCATGGATTTAGGTGTTAGACGTCAAAGGGTTAAATATTAAGAGTTCTGAAAAACCTGCCTCTTATTCCGTAAAACTCGACTTTTCGGAAACTCGACAGTCTCTCAGTCTACATTATATCGAGTTTGCGGGAATGTACTGTATATGGACTTTTTTTTTTAAATCATTTTTCAAAAAAGGATATGAAAAAGTACTTACTATCAGGTTTCAGTAACGTCAATCCAACTAGCCACAAAGACATGTAAACAATTATAGATATAAAGCAGAGAACCATCCCAGTCACCAAGAAACTTGCTGGACCGCTCATCTCGAATGCCTAAAAGATAAAATCAGACTTACTAGATTTTAAACAATATCATTGCAACAGATAATCAAAATAATATGTAAAACAAGACAGAGAAATTGTGTTTGTTTTTTAAAAAAAGTTTTTCTTAATTATTTTGACTAATGGCAACACGTTAAATTAAAGATAAAAAATAAATGATGTTTTAATATAATGGAATGGAATCAAATTACTTTACGTGAGAGCGCAACATATGATGCTATTGATTTTGCTTTGGTACAAGACACGTGATCAACTGTAGTATGCAATACGAGGGACTTTTGGCTCGAGCATACATGAAATGGTGGAAATAATGCCACAAAGAGCTTGGAAGCGCAAAAAATTATGTGTCCAACGCAAGGAATTGTTTAAATGACTACTATCTGACTGCTTTGCGTAATATTAAATTATATCTATATGATAAATGAACAGAGATTTCCAGGATGCATGAATAAAATCCATTAAATGCAATTAATTTTTCATACTTACGTGACCAACTATCACAGGCATTGACATTTCTCCTAAAGCAGCTCCAAAGACCAGAAAACTTGTAGTGGCGGCTGTAGAAAAGAACATGGTAATTTGCATGAGAAAATAGTGCCTTGCATTTCGTTTATAGTTTTATGACTTAACTTCAACATCAATGCAAGCATCAGTATACTCGTTGTTGAATGGCAGTTCAACAATTCAACTAAATTATCAGCAAAGCTTTGTATTGGCTATTTAATAATTAATTAGCAATATTTCAAACAAGCATGATTACAAGAAACACATTCACTTTAGCATATTTTCAAAGTTAATATAATTTAACGAATCTAAAAACTGGAAAATTCTAAACCAGAATACATTTAAACAGAATAATTGCATTAATAACAGCTGTTTTTTTAAGGTCGCACTAAATTTTTTCAAAGAATATGATGATTGGTTTGATGGCATAAGAAAAAGAGAGTCAGACTAACTAGAATAAAATTCCTAAATACTTAGATTCTTCCAGCTTTTCCTTCGAATGACTCAATTTTCTTCCTCTGTGTCTAACTAATTATTTCCCAAGGAATATTACTTTAAAACTTCAGTTATGTTGCATAAAAGTTTTACTTTAATTTAATTATATTTATATAAATGAAAATTAAATATCATGTTTAATATATACAATATGAAATTAATGATCTAAAGTTTTAAAAAATGTAAAATTGTGAATAATAATAAATGTGTCTAAACATCTTGACAGTTATTAAGTGTAAAAAAAATCGCTTAACAACATAGATGAGAAATAACTCGCCTAATGTACAAGAGATTTTGAGTTAAAGTAGAAATTTTGCAAGGAATACAGCTGTCATGACCGATGACCTCAAGTTTTGCCCTGCCCTAGTGTTGAAAAAATATAAAAATGAAGACTTACCACAGAGTCAGATATGAAGTATTCTTTTATTACAATTGAAGAACTTAATATAATTTCAGCACGATAAATACTGCAGAATGCAGATATATTGGGTCATTGCACAAATCTTTGCCGATCTTCACTAGGTTACCGTTTTTACCATGCTATGATTTTATTAGTATAAAATACACTATAAAGCAATACAATTACATGAGTGAAACAATTGACAATGTTATAAGGTATATCTCCCGCCTTCTTAGCATGCCTTAGTGGTGTAATGGCCAGCACACTCGGCGCGTATTCGAGAGGTCCGTGGTTCGAGTCCCGGCAAGGGCATTGCCGAACCTTCGAAGTAACCAAATGTCTGTACAGTAGCGCCCGAACTAAAAAAAATCGGTGGTGGATGATGGTTCTTCACCACCGGGATTTGGCGATTGGGTCCCCGAATCCCCAGTCGTCCTTTAAAAGGGGGAGTATATAAGGTATTTCTCCCGCCTTCGTGGTGTAATGGCCTGCACACTCAGCGCGTATTCGAGAGGTCCCGGTGAGGGCATTGCTAATTTTTCCTGTCTCCTGCATCGAAATAACCTAATGCCTCTACAAAGTCATTAGTCATTAACAAAGATGGTCACCATCTTTCTCAATGACCATCTGCCATTGTTGAGGTAGGATTTCATCACCTCTCCTGTAGAACTATTACAGTTTCGAGATGAAGAAATCTGTTAGCTAGTTGCTAAGAGAAGCTTCATCGTGAAACTCTTGTCCCTGAATGTTATAAGAGAGAGTCCAGAAAAGAGGGTAAACAGAAGGAGCAATAAATATGTCGGAAGTGTTCATTTTTCTCCACTCCACACTCCATATTGATTAGCCTTAAAATGGCCAAAGGAGTGGTAGCAACACAAAGGCTCTTCTTTGCAACAATCAAGCTCCGGACTGGGGGAAAAAAAAAAAAAAAAAATGAATAACGACAAATGAAGGCTTCGCAATACAGTGTTGCCAAGCCAATGAAGAACGGCGCGAACTTGTGCACCGACCCAATACATCTAAAGTTACGCCAATATACGTAAATATGAAGATGCGATTTTATCAAGATTTTCTTTTACATCACATAAAATTCGAACAGCCAATTCCTCGGTCTGTTTTTCAAAATCCTTTACCTTAAGAATTCACATTCTACCCTATGATGTTGGGAGGCTCCAACTTGTCAGCAACAGTAATAGTGACTGCTATGAACTGGAAATTACACAAACTCGTAAGAAGGGTTTAAATCCCTTTTTATTTCACTTTAGAAATCACAGTTGCTTTCACTTGACGCTCACAAACTACGCCGAACCGACGGTTGAACAAAATAGACAAAAATGCAACTAAAAATAAATGACAGGATGAATAAACAACGAAGTCACTACCAACGAGGCTCTATAATCGTAACTAACTTAACCACGTTCTAAGATACAGCTGAGATTCAGCAAACTTTTCTGATTAAGAATTTGAAAGATTCAACGAACTGCCGAAATAGGCACACAGGCCGAAACGCGCGGTTCTTAAATTTCTACATAGCAACCTTCACGCTCGTGATTCAATAAGCACACTTACAAGCTCGTTTCCCTTTTATTTAAACTCAATTTACTTCTGCTAAAATTTGAATACTCTGCGCGTTCTACTACGATTTACATACTCTGGCATTGGCAATTCTAGGGGAAAGTAAAGGCTTGACAGGAAAGATAGCTTAAAATAAATGTTAGTTAAAATAAATATAAACCCTACAACCCTTAAAAAAAATGTGGTGTAGACACTACACGACTTCCTTGTATGACCTATTAAATTAAACACATTTTTTGCTGGATTTCATATGTACATGTATTTGGTTTTTGTACTGCCGATTGGAGACGCACAACTAGATGTTACAGCAGTTCCATATACAGAATTTCAACTTTCTACGGCTAATCGTTTTTAAGTTATGCCAGGTGCATACGTACGTACGTACAGTCATCGCGAAAAAAATCCCTTTTGAATCCATTTCACAATCCGTTTTAGGAAAATGGCCCTTTATTCGGTCCGTACATACAGATATCCCGCACAAAAGTCATCCAAGTGAATTCGCGAAAGGTCAAAATGAATATTTTCGTTGAAATAGGATACCCGAAATTTTTCGCGATTACAATACTTCCTTTGCTTTGTACAGGGAAGTAAAAAACAAGCTATTTGCCTTTTAGTTGCCACAATAACACAGGATAATCATTTAATTTTTTTAAGCGAAAAACTGAATATTGTTTGCCTTTCTTTATCTATAGAATCCAAAGATAATGAAACACACATAACAAACAAATCTCTGAACCAAATTATATTCTATGCATGACATTTATTATTATGTATCAGAATTTTTTTTCTTCGTGCATAATTAAAATAAATAGCATGATTTGCGAAACATTAGAGCTTTTAATACTTACGAGTAACATGTATGTATTGCTCAGTGAGTGAGAGCGCCGTTGGGAATACGCTGCTCATAAATATGCCCAGCATGCAGGTACCCACAATCAGCATCACATGACTGTACCTTAACGCCAGCATCAGTAAAAGTCCAGCACTGCATCCGATCTGTTGAAGTTAAAAGCACTTGTTTATGCCAATTGATAATTTTAATGACTATCTGAGAAATAACACAAAATTACTTCAACCAAAAATGAAGTGACTGACAAATTAACTGCAAGTAATGTCTCGCAAATAAACGAATTCAAATATTTTTTTAATATTTGCTAGATTTTGATAGAACTGTTGAAATCTTGATTGTAAACTATGCTTAATGCAAGATTTCAACAAGCAATAGCTTTTATAGCCACTTATGTAAAATCCCTTATTCTTATGATGAGATAAGAAAATAATTTTAAAAATGAAGCGATACGTATTTAGGTTAAAAAAACACGCCGAATAATGATTATTAGAGAAGAATCGGCGTACTGTTTCTAAATTAGGACTAGTATCAATGGTTTAAATATACAACCACCCTCTTCAGCTGCCTAAATGCAAATGAACGAGATCTGGAGGAGTTAAACAACAAGAACCAGTGTAATGTTTGTAAATTTTTCAGGACTAGTTTCAATGGTTTAAATACAGAACCAGCTTCTTCAGCTGCCTAAATGCAAATGAACGAGATCTAGAGAAGTTAAACAACAAGAATCAGCATAATGTTTGTAAATTCTGCAGTACTAGTTTTGATGTTTTAAATACAGAACCAACTTCTTCAGCTGCCTAAGTGCAAATGAAGGAGATATGGAGAAGTTAAACAAGAACCAGTGTAATGTTTGTAAATTTTTCAGGAATAGTTTCAATGGTTTAAATATGGAACCATCGAAACTAGTTCTGCTAAATTTACAAACATTACACTGAATCTTGTTGTTTAACTTTCACCAATAATCGGTACATATTTCCGAAGCTGCGTTAAGCAGATAAAAATGTTCATTTACTTAACGACGAATTAGAGAGATTTTTGTTATTAAAATTGAGAAAGTACAGTAATCCGAATGCCTTCGATTTGATTTTCGAACTGCCAAACAACGTTGTTAAAATAATTTAAATCTTTCAGAAAATATTTATTTTTATAGAGTTGTAACCAGTTTGCAATCCATTATGTATCTTTCAATGTTTTCATTTTCTTCCCTCCACTCTAGATAAGATAAGATTTCATGTACACAACTGCATTAAAAGTGAGATGTTATCACATATTTTTTTTTTCCTTCTTCCTCCCCCCCCCCATTTTTTGCTTCGAAATTCTTTATTGGTCCTACTTTCTTAACTGATTTTAGTCACCGTTTTTATGTAGCGTCTTTATACTCAAAAAGATAGCACTGACATTGAATCACAGTTTGCTCTATGCAATACATTTGCTATTCATGCGAATGTTAATATTCAGTGATGCTAAGAATAACCAGTTATAGTATGTATAAAGTGCTGTTATGGAGGATCCCTTTCAGCTCATAGTAAAAGATAAATATCAAAACCCATCGAAGCATGAATTTCCTAATTACTGATTTAATCCTGCAGATAAACTCTTTCCAGTCATAAGGCATTTGTATAATTCTGATTATAAGTCATTCGCTCCTACAGAAAAAAAATCTGAAAGCTTTTAGACATTGTATTACACACAAAGGGGCGTTTTTTTTTTCATTTACACACATATACACTTTTCGATAGCATTTGGACTAAGGTCCCTTTCGACTAAAAATATTTAAAAACAGCATACCTTTAGAATTTCCTAGACACCTCGCTCGCTGGAGATAAAAAATTTTTCTTTCGTCACAATGTTACCATAGCTCGCTTTGAAATCGTTGAGTTTGTTAAACAAAAATTCGTTAAAGTGTTACTAAGTATGAAACCAGAATAAAACAAATTCCAAATTCGTGTTTCCAAGTGCTCATATTCGGGTAGAGGACTGCGTTATTCAGAATTTGATGCCTCTAGGTACCGTTGTTTTTTCACAATGCGAGAAACATACAAACATTTATGTAGATCCTTCCATTATCTAGTTTCTTTAAATATAATACAGGGCGATAATATTTGGTCGCAGCAATTTGAAAAGTGATTATAGTGATTCGACGCCGCTTCGAGACTTGTAGATCGTTTGGACTAATAATGACAAAACAAAACGAAAAGGTTTTTTTTATCTGAGAGTTTTCAGATTTTATAATACACCCAAAGGGGCGTTTTCTTTAGCCTTTTGTGTGTTACCTTTATTTATTAAATATGATATTCTTCGCACTTAAACCATAAAATTCAGTTCAATAGCAATGTCGCAAAATAATTTTAAAATGAGCATATCTTTAGAATTTCCGATACACAGTTCTGCGCGCTTGAGATAAAAAGGTTCCCTCCCCCCCGTAGTGTTGCCATTGCTCGCTCTTAAATAGTTGAGTTTGTTAATCAAAAAATTCGTTAAAGTTTTACAAATTATGAAATAGATAATAAAACAAATTCCAAATGTGGGCTTCCAGATGCCCATATTCGGGTGGAGACGTACGTTATTCAAAATTGGATGGTTCTATAGGTACCGTTGTTTTATCACAATGCGAGAAACATACGTACATTTATGCAGATTCTTCATCATTTAATTTGTTTAAATGTAATACAGGGTTCTAATATGTGGTGGCAGCAATTTTAAAAGTGATTCGCCGTTTATAGTGAATCAACGTAAAATGCCAAAACGAAATTAATAGCTCTTCTGGACAAATTGCCCCATTGGGCTAAAATTGTTTGTCTCACTAATTACTTATTAATGATATATGCAGTGTCTCTAGATTTGAAATCTTTTTGTACATGTTGTTGTTTGTACTTGGGCTTTAAAAATTTGAATTTAAATGACAATTAAAGGATTGCGTGAATGATAATTCGTTCCGTTTTTATTAATAAATTTATCACATAAAATATTTTTAAGATAATATTTTAGTTTACAAAACATAAGAACAAGTATGAAAGTTTTTTTTATATAAAGTATAAATAGAAATTTACTTACAATATTGCAGAAGAGCATGAAGGAAGGAGATAACTTAGTCGCAAGAGCTATAGAAAGCAATCTTCCTGTAGCAAACATTCCCTGCAAGGCAAGATAGATTCAGTATAAAAGGCTTACACCTCAGGTACAATATAATAAAATAAGCTTTGCCATCAAGATAATAGCTGAAAAAGATTCTCTGAAGATCTAAAGAAAATTCATAACTATATCAAAGGATCCAAGTCCTTGTATAGCTAATTTACATATCTCTGTATTATTTCAATAGGGAAATTCCATGCAAAGTACTTAAAATGAGTTTTCTGTGAGTTCTCCTAGTCTGAATAATTTATAATCTTTATAATTTTAAACTAAAAACGATATATCGGTATTCAAATCTGAAATACTAAACCCAGTTTTTGTCACTAAGGATCCAAATGTGGTCTTTACAGAGATCTACGAAATAATTTATGCTATTACGTTACTATTTCTATTTTTTTGGGGAGGAGGGAGGGAAGTCCTAAGGAGAAAAAATGTATAATTTCAAGCTTCGATCTGCAGTTTGTTTTCATAATTAAAGATATTTCTCCCTAATGGGTACAAAAAATTCAGTTTCAGTAATTTTAGAATTATGTCATCTATTTTTAATTACCATATCCGCACATATCGAAATATTTAATGTCATTTTTATTATAGCGGAATATATTAATTTCACATTCACGAATTTAAAAAAAAAAAATGCTTGGAAATCGGAAATGTGAATTAATATATTCCGCTATAATAAAATTAGAGAAGTAATTTCTAAAAATTCCTAAAAATTAGATCCAGATAAGATCCTGTAATTGCTAAAAATTAGATGCTTAGAATTATCAGGATCTCTTTCATATTATTTTAATGACATCATCATTAGAAATGTCCTTCCAAAAATTTTGGCAGTTACATTCGTTACTAATGCTGTTGTGGCATATTATCCATTACACTTGGCAAGTGTTGCTGTTACGAGAATCACAAGAAAATAATCCTGCTTTCAATCGCATTTTGCGCGAAGTCATTTCTCAGAGTTCTGCTAGTAACAAAACGTACGATTTAAAAATATTCAAAACAACTATCTTATCTTAGCGCAGATTTTGCATAAAACACAAAATAATTTTGAACAAAACAAAACAAAAAAATAACTTTTTTTTTTTTTCCAAAGCAAATTTAGAAGTTCTTTTGCATGTGGAGAAGAGGAACTTGTGTCTGTTCCCTCTCGAAATCAACAGAAGTATGTTCAAAATCTGCGCCCACCAAGTTTGCTTACGGAGGGTTACTTGTACCTTTTTGGAACGATTTTCATGAAGAATTAAAGAAAAGCAATTGTTTTGGAATAAATTTTTCTGGCAACAATTTATTGTTTAAAATGAGAAATATTGTCTGCTACTTTTAAATTGATTTCCTTTCAAAATGTCTCATGTAAACAAGCTTTGGATTGAAGGATATGTTTTTGCACTTTCCGAAGAGAAATAATCCTATTCCGTTATTCGGAAACATTGTGAAATGTATGGTGTTAAAATTTCTAAATACAAAATAAGCAACATTTCGGAATGGAAAAAACCGTCAATCATTACTTCTACATGGAAAGAAGACTAAAACAAATACCCAGAAAAGGTACGTACTGTTTCTAAAGTTAAATCATTGGTAATAAGAGGAAATCCGCAGAAGCAGAAATCAATTTCAGATTCCTTAAATATATCTCCAGCAGCAATGAGTAAAATAATTAGCCAAGATTTACAACTTAAAAAGCGTAGAAACATAACTATCGCTGAAGTATGTGGTTCAACGCAGAGCAATTTATAAAATTCTGTATGAAAACTGTTTAGGGGGAGATATGTGGAAATACATTGTGACCCATAATGAAGCATGAGTTTATTTAAATGGCTGCACCAAAAAAAGGTTTATTTATTATCGAAAATGAAAAGAAAAAGTGTCCAAACCTAGTTCCATCACAGCAAAGAAAGTTACAGTAAAGGGTTTATGATCGTCGCAGGCTTCTCTTCCAATGAGAAATTAAAAATAAAAAGACGGGGGCGGGAATGTGAAAATCAAATCAACGTGCTATCAATAAAAAGTTTCTGTGTCCGGTGTTTACAGAAGCAATTCTATTTCTTTACCATAATGACTTTCATAAAGTGAAATTTCATCAAGACAAACCAGCAAGTCATACTTAGTAAAGTACAACTCCATTTCTTGAAAAATTAAGGCTGATACAGGTATTGCATACATATTTTTTCAACGTATTACTGCAAAATCCCTCGATGTTTGACCTATGAACTATTGTACCTTTGGTCTTTTGAAAAGAGCTTTTTTATAATTGCAAACCCACCACGTTTCATGGACTCTAGAAAAGCGGAAGAGAAATGGAAATCAGTACCCCTTGAAATTCTACGAAAAGCCCTTCCATCATGCAAACCACAATGCAGGATTATAAATCAGAAAAAAGGCTATCATATCGAACATTTTAAATAAGTACTTTTTACATTTTAAACTTTAATGAAATGTTCCCGAAATTGTTCTAAAAATGTGTAAACACCCTCTGTAATTTTAAAATTTACACTGGCATGTTCCTTTTAAAATTTAAAAACGTGGGATCTTTATTTTGTGATTTTATTCCGTCTGTAATTTCTAAACAAAATGAAAGATTTCATACATATATGGTATTAATTTAATAGTCATTAGGTTTTTTTGAAGCAGGAGACGTCAAAAATATGCAGTATATTATTAAAAACAAAGTAAGGATTTAAACTTTTAAGAAATGCGTTTATGTCTATAAAGTATTTTCTCCCTTCTCTCCACATGCCTTCGTGGTGTAATTGGAAGCATAATCGACGCGCGGCAAGGGCATTGCACATTTTTCGCGTCTCCTGTTTCAAAAAACCTAATGATTCTACAAGTGGCGCCCAAACTAAAAGGTTTGGACGATAATTCGTCACCACCAGGATTTGGTCGGGACTCGAACCCTGGACCTCTCGAATGCCCGTTGAGTACGCTTCCAGTTCATGTGAAGAGCAGGAAGAAAATAACTCATGCACTTTCCCTTTTAAAGGGTGACTGGGGCTAGAGGACAGAATCGCCAAAATCTGATGTTGAAGAAGTATCGTCCACACGTTCGGGCGCCACTTGTAGAATCATTAGTTTTTTTTTTTTTTTTTTTTTTTTTTTTAATATGCAGTGCCCTTGCGGGGACTCGAACCCTAGACCTCTCGAATACGCGTTGAGTATGCTTTCAATTGCACCACGAAGGCGTGTGGTCTTTTCTCCTTTAAGACTTTTATGTTTTCAGTTAATTTAAGTAGGACATTAACTGTATAGCAAAAGATAATACGCCATTACTTCATTTTTTTAACGGCACACACCATTTTTTTTATTCAAACATTACTGTATTTCAATGCATTGAGAAACTTATCTGGAGCTTATCGAGAAAGAAAACTGAATTCAGCGGAAATGGAACTCTTAAGATGATAAGAAATGTAGGTTACAGCATTTAGTTTCTAAATTCATTTAGAAATGCATTTTTATGAAGCAATCGAGACTGAAGGGTAGCAGTCATAGCTCTAATTTATTTGCTAGAAGACTTGTATAAATTGTATAAATTTTATTTCTAAACTTGTATTAAAAATTACTAAACTTGTATAAATTGTATTGCTATTTTTTACAGCAGCAGCTCACAATAAATTATACAATTAAGGCTGAGCAAAATCCGTTATTCTACTTCCATATTCGCAATACTTTTTACTAAACTTGCTGTAGAGTTTCGTGTGAATCATATTTGCTTTATCTGTTATCAGTTATAGCAAAAATCACTTTCAATTAATTTTCCTTATTAGGAGGTTTCTGTTGTTGTTGTTGCTTATGCTCACTTGTCTGATGTAGTCAGCCCAAGCCCCTGAAATTCCTCGAGGCAAGAAATGGTAGTTTACGCCTGCTGTTAGAGCACCTTTCAGGTGGTAGTGCGATTTAGCTCAGTTCCGCCCCCAATTTTGATAGAGAGCACCCAGCGGGGGCAGGTCCGAGGGTTTCCCACCTCTCTCCCCTTCCAAAAAAAGCCACTCGAGAGAATTTTGGCTCGCCGTATATTTAGAGTGCCACCATGCCGCACTGACACCATACGTTTACAAACATCTATACCTTCTCCGGGATTCAAACCCGGGCCCTTCGGCGCGGCAGTTAGCCCCGCTAACCACTATACCGTTTGGGCGGCTGGAGGTTTCTAGTAATCACAATAAGGAAAGTTTTTACAATCAAACTCTTATAAAAGTTCTTCAACTGAAATTTTTAACTTAGCGTTACGTTCGTTTTGTTATTCTCCTGTAAATCTTATAATCTTCTGAGATTTTGATATATTAAGTTTGCAAAAGAATCAGATTCCATGTATTTTTGTTTACAACTATTAGTTTAAGGTTGATTTTAATATAGGATACAAAAATAAACACCTTGACACATTTTACTTTTTTATTATCATAAAGGCAAGAAAGCTACTGAGGGGATATGCATTTTTATGTATCACATATCACAAAGAGATATGTGAAGTTTATGGTATTGACTGCTTAAAAGAAAGTATGTGTCAGGATTGGTTTAAGAACCAATTTTTTCTTAAAAAGTCCTCCCCGAAGACATCCATCCCTTTAGGCAAATAGCCCTCGAGGCTTTGCTGTAATCTTATAAAACCAAGCTAAACCATGTTTGCTTTAAAAAATTCCGTTCTGGAGATTTTTTGCTTGAAGATAGATACCCATTGTTTTGGATGAACTTCAGAAGTAAACGGTGGCAAAATTAAAGACACGATTGGAATCGAATCATCATGTAACTGTGCGAGAGATTGCAGAAAGGTTAAATGTAAGACGCCCGACAGCTGAAAATCACATAAGATCTCTTAAACTCGTTAACCCTTTGCGTCACAGTGTGTCCGGTCTGGACACACCTAAAAATTTCCTTCTGTACGCACAGAAAAATTGAATGGAAAAGGATTTATAGGTTACTCTGAACCTTCTTTATTTATAGTAGATGGCAGCTCAACACAAAGCAGTCCATATATTTTAGCCCTGTTTATTAAGACCCTCATTTTTCAA